GAGCCCCGCCGGTCCCTCTGTTGGCAGCCCGGCCCCTCGCCCCCAGCCCCTGAGGGGAGGTTGGAGGGACACAGATCTTCTGCTATCTGCAAAGCAACATCCCAAAGCAAAACTGATGGGAGTGACAAGGAGCACGGTGCAGTTCTGCAGTACTGGGACAGGGGCACCTTGGGGTGGTGCCAGCAACTCCAAATACAGCCTGTGCTGCAAAACACAGAAACTAGGCCTGCTACAAGAACTCCTGCCTCATTTTTAATGAAGAAATTAAGTGTAAATTCCCAGTTTCCTTTCTGTGGCTAATCCTCTGGATTTATTTGAGTAGATGTAAGGTTAGAGCACAGTTAGTTTCATGTTTGGAATTTCTAAATTAGTATAAACCGGCACTTCAAAGTAACTCAGCTCCTACAAAACCCAGTCCCACGGAGATGCCACAGTATATTTGGACAGTAAGTAGATGCTTTGTCATATTCCCACGTGTATATGAGGGTTTTTTTCTTTGGGAACATTTTCTGACTGGTTTCAAACCACATTTCCATGCCCAGGCACACATATATACAGAGACTGTTTATACAGTCTACCCAAGGAGTTCGTTTTATTTAACAACCCGTTACAGTACAGCTCGCTGGTGGGTATCTCATCATTACACCCCCAAACACTGTGTTCAGTGACCATGCAGGATCTGACACAAAGCCACAAGAGCCAGAAACTTGAGAATTAATGCTGAAACGCATCATTATCCCATGCCGCTGTGCCTTTGGATTTCAGCAAAGGAAATAAACTGGATTTTCAGCCTTTTTTGAGTTGGAGACCCCAAAACATTTCCCAGGAGAGATGCGGATCCCTGACCAGCAAATCTAACCCTAATGAATTCAAGTCTGCTTTCCCAAGGTACCTCTCTGGGAGTTTTTAGGAGAGCATGGGGCTCATGCAGAAACCACAGAAGACACTGAGTCCGGCACAGCCCCAAGCGTGGGATGGGGTTTCCAGTTCAGCTTTTCCTCAAGCGCACTTCCTCATCAAATAGTGCATTTTATGTTGTGTTCAGCTCAGACCCCCCCGTCAGCCACTGCTTGGACACAGAGAGGGAAGGTCTGTGGAGATGCCTGGAAATCCACAGTCATTGCCCTTCTGCTACAGCTATGGCCAGGAGAGTGGGGCTGGGACTGCCGGCAGCGTCCTCATCTCCCTGCCCAAAAAGGCAGCTGCTGTGGGAGCGGCACAAAGGTGCTCAGCTACGTCCCCTGCCAAAACACCCATGGAGAGACAGAGCAGTGGTGAGAGGACACTGTCAAGGCTCTGCTCTGCTGGGACATGGCAGTGACGCAGCGTGGCCAAAAGAACAGCCAGGCAGACCTTTGGTTTTGGTGGCTCCAAGGGGGACAGTGCTGGGACACCCCACACAGCCACTGCTCCCGGGCCAGTGGGAAGCTGGGGATGGGCTCTTGCCTACTTTGCTTTCACAACAGCTCCAGCATCCCACAGCTGCGCCGTACTCCAGCCACGCAGCCAGCATGACCTTCAAACCCACTGGGCCTTGATCCTGCTGGGGCAGAATAGCTCAAATATGAAGTAAACCCACACAACGTCCTCGGAATTTGATAAGCTCTGTCAGCACGTTGCTCCAAACACTGTTACAGGCAGTCTGCTCCAGAGAACTCATACTCCTCCCTTATGGGGGCTTGAGTCCAAATTCCACACGGGCTTTGAGTGGGCAACACGCCGCAGTGATTCCATGCAAGTATTCCATTTTAGCTGCATGTGTTACAAAGACCAGCATTTGACACAAAATTCATTATAAAAAGCTATTTCTGTTGAGGGGAAGCAATCCTAGAGCTCACCCACTCACTCTCGGTGCAAGAACCCAACCAACCTAAATCCTTCCCTCACACGTCCTCCTTCCCCTGAGCTGCGCTGCAAAATCATCTCCTCCCTATGTGACTTTTTAGCAATGCTCATTGAGAAGAACCACCGCCCCTCACTCCTGACCCAGGCCATCCTCCTCTGCACATTTTCTCTGTGTCTCACAAAGCTGTTAAGCTTAATTGCAAGTTAGCACTTCTGTCAAAGCAAGGGGACTATTCCCAGGCTGAGCTGGTGGCTCCCCTTGCCCAACCTGGGGAACACAGGCTGATCAGCCAGCTGCCAGAGATGTGCTGTCCCCAGGTCCACCTGCCCCATCCACCCTCCACAGCCCTCTGTGTGACCAGTACCACATGGTCGCAGTGGGAACCAAACAAGTGGCTGGCACCACATCAATGTGCACAGAGACAAAGCCCCTCGTTCGGTGCCAGCCTCCCTCAGACCTCTCAGCACGGTGCTGAAGGATAAGGAGCCAGGCCCCGCACGGGCTGGCACTGAGCAGCAGTGCCATGGGGAGGGACAGGGAAGGCTGGCATGTTAACTGCCCACTCCCAAAAACCTCACTGGCAGGCAAGCGCTGGAGCTCCCTAGCTGAGTCACAGCAAGTGCTGCAGGAGAGAAGCATTCAATTAGACTGGAGAGCACACAAGGGGGCAATGATTTTCCTTTCACACCGCATTACGCCTAACAGCCCGTGCTCCGGATTTGTAACAACCAACTACTTCAGCTGAGCACGCGCTCGGAATGAATCAGGCCAACATTACGGGGTTTTTTTCTTCCAAAAGGAGCCTAAAACCCAACTGCCTGGTCCTCAGGAAGAACTAATGAGCCATACTTGCTAACACCAGAGCACCTATCAGTGATGCACAGGCAAAAGGAAAACTGGAAACCCACTAACAGGAGAAGTGGAGCTCACAATGGGAAGGCAGATAGACCCTGATTTGCTCCACCGGACCAGCTGCTGCTTTAATACATTTTCCTGCTGCATTTCTAGGGCTGGGACACAAAATGTGTTAGAGTCTTCGCTGTCTTGAAGGTGGAAATTGATGTTAGGTTTTTGCAGCACAAAGACACCAAATATTACAACTCTTCTCTTGACGCTGCCACTCTGGGACTTGAAAACGAAAACAGCTTGTTAACTTGTTGGCAATTCTAATGATTAAGTAAAAGGCTCTCCTTCTGACTGGTAGGACGGCTTCCCAGCAGGCTCAGTCAGCGGTTTTAGAGGAATATGCTTCAAATAAATGGGAAGTGTAGAAATATTAGGCATGAACGAATATTAATGTTATGCTTCATTTATACCCTGCTGTACTTGACATCAAAGGATCTCAAAGCAGCTTTACAAATGCAATACGACACTACATGAGTTGGGTTTCTGAATAATAGTAAGAAATACAGGAGTATGTACGACACTGAGGTTAAACAACTCAGGTTAAACACTCAGGTTAAACAACTGGTCCGAGGCCAGCAGCAGTGTCAGCTGGGACCAGAACCCAATCTCCCTATCCACCATATATCACCACCAGTCAGACTGCTCTCTCCACAGGAATAAATTTTCTTGCAGCCTGATCTCGCCACAGTGGCAAACACAGAGGGTTCCCACTGACTCCCAATGGGCTGGCAGTGCTCAGTGATTCTAGCTTACATCCCCGACCCTCATGTCCCCTGTCACACACCCCTTCAGGAACACAGTGTCCTTCTTAGACAGCCTTTGTGGCATCACTGACAACACCCTGGTCTCCTTCCCTGCCTACCTAGGGAGCGCTCAGAGAGGAGGGTGCTACCAGGAGCATGCCTTCCAGTGGAACAGTATGACAGGCCAAGACAAAGAAGGAGTAAAACCTCATCTGTGCCAATCTCCCTGGAGTCACTGGGGAATTAACTGTCTAAATACCTTATCGCATACAGCACTTGACACTTTCAACATCAACAGACTGATATTAGTCAAGATTATCTTCTTTACTGAAGAAAAGTTAGAAAAAACAGTATCTCCCCAGCAGTCCTGGAGCCCCGGGGGAGCTCAAGGGTGAGTGGTACTTCTACCACTGACTTTCAGTTATGACCAAGCTCACTCCCCGGGCACCTCCAGCAGCCTCGGCCCCGATGCTGCCTGACCCGCCTGGTAGAGACCGTTCAATCCTGCCAGGAGATTCAATCCTGAGGGGCTGATCTGCAGGGATGATGAGCATCAGCCACAGCCAACAAGAACTGAGGGTGCCTTCGCATCCTGTAAATAGGATTCTTGACTCCCAGTGACTCCTCTGAGAGCCATGACCATGCCAAGGTGTCAGGACTGAGAGTGTGGAATTAGCTCAAACTACCAGATTTCCTGGCTGTCAGGTAGCTTTGACTTTGCCATCAGGGAAAAACTGTTAAACTTTGCTAGAGTAGGTCTATGAACCAGTGCATTAAGGCTACATATTTTACCACAGCGTGGAGATGCCACACTAAACACTCCGGTTACCATGGGAAACCTTTCTCTCTGCCACTGGCATTGCACAGGGAAGCCCAAGCCCAAATGCTCTACCTCGCCTTTGAAATCAAACAGATGTTTTCAAGATCTTTGATGGAGCTGAGTTGTGCACACTTCCCAGAGGAAGGAAAAAAATGCAGCATTAAAATAGACCTTTTTTCTCTCTTTTTTCTCAAGCATCGCATGTTTTTAGTGAAAAGGAAAACAGACATCTCTGTCTGGCGCTAACATTTACGGCCACTCGGTAACAAACTGTGACAGTGGCCAACTTCTGTCCCGAACGCAGGGAGCCAAGGCACCCAGTGTACGGTCCCCGGCAGGGCTGCCCGCCGCGGGACGGGACGTGGGGCCGGCGATGCCCACAGACCCCCGTCGCGCAGAGCACCCACGGGGAGCGGGGCACCGGGGACGGGGTGTGGGAACGACGCTGTCCCCGGGCAGGTGGGGGGGTGGTCTCCGGGGAACGCGGGGCGGGGAGAGCCGAACGGGGAGAGGAGCGGGGAGAAGGGCTCGGCCGCCCGCCCGGGACGGCCCCCGGCCACGGGACGCGCTCCCGCCCGGGGGACGCGGCAGCGGCGGCGGCGGGACGGGACGGGGCCACTGTCCCCCCGCCGGCCACCGGCTCCCCGCGCTCCCCCGCCCCGGCGGTACCCGCCGCACGCCGTACCTGTATGTTCCTCTTCTCGCAGGCCGGGCCGGTGCCCTGCACCACGCTGTCCAGCACGGTGACCATGCCGGCGGCCGGGCTGACGAAGCAGGAGTTGCGGGCGGCCCGGATCGTCTCCTCGATCTCGGCGAAGCGGAAGACGCAGAGCGCGGACTGCGGCCACCCCCCGGCACCGCCGGCCCCGGCCCGCTCGAAGACGCCGAAGAGCAGCTCCTCGGGGGGCGGCGGGGCCGGGGCCGGGCCGGGGGGGGTGGCGGGGCTGCGCCAAGCCGCCCGCGCCGGGAAGACCGAGACGAGACGGGTGAAGGCGTCGGCGGCGCCGCCGCAGCGCAGCCCCAGCTGGATGTAGGACTCGGTCAGCTTCTTGGTCTCGCCGCTGCCGTTGAGGGTGGCCTCGGCCGGCTCGCCCAGGCAGATGCGGGCCAGCAGGCTGTGCGCCGGGCTCTCCTTGTCGCCCGCGTTCGCCTCGCTGTTGAGCGCCAGGTAGGCGTAGGGGCGGCGGGCGCGCGGCGCGGCCCCGCGCTGCAGAAAGGCGCGGACGAAGCTGAGCTTGTGCCGCGCCTTGTCGCCCTGCTTGATCTTGAGGATGTTGTCGTCGGAGGGGTTGATGTCGAAAGTGAAGAGCTTGGCCAGGTCGCCGCGGGCGTTGAGGGCGCGGATGGCGATCTCGGGCGTGTTCTCGAAGCGGTGGTCCTCCAGGCTGCGGTTGCGGGGAAAGAAGGGGCTGCCGAAGCCGGTGTAAGTGGCGGCCACCAGCAGCCGCGCCCCGCCGCCGCCGCCGCGGCGCAGCACGAGCCCCACGGTAGAGGCGTTGGGATGGTTGGCCGCCACGTTCAGCATACTGGGGAAGACGGTGACAGAGTCGCTGCCGCCCGGCGGGAAGCGCACGGCCACCGCCGAGATGTTGGCCATGCTGCGCAGCTGGCAGAGGCCCTGGTAGATGGAGCCGCAGACGACGAGGACGCCCTGCTCGGGGTCCGGCTGCAGGATCTTGTTGTAGTTGTTGGTGAGCACCCTGGGGTGCTCGCAGGAAGCCTGTGGCAGCTGCGGCGCGTGGCACAGCGGGCTGTCCAGCACCGGCCCCACAGCCGCCTCCGCCTCCAGCGCCAGCTCGCCCCCCGACAGCTGGAACAGCCGGTTGACGGCCGCCAGGTAGACGCGGGAGCCGGGGCCGTCCAGCGCGAAGTTGTTGGTGGGGGTGGGAGAGAGGAACTTGCGCTGCACCTCCAGGCCGGCAGCACGGTCGGGCAGCAGCAGCGGCAACAGCAGCAGCGGCAGCAGCGCGGGGGGCCGCAGCTCAGCGCCCGCCGCCGGGACCGGAGCCGGAGCCATCCCGCCGCCCGCGCCGCCGCGCCGCACAGTGCATGAGCCCGTCGCCGGGCGCGGGAGGGGCGGGCGCGGGGCCGCTTCCTGCGGAGGCAGCGCCCGCCGCCGAGCGACGCCCGCGGGAAGTGGCGGCCGCGGCGGGGGGCGGCGGGGGGCGGTGGGGCGTGCGGCCGCGCCCCCTCCCTGCCCCCGCCCTCCGCCCGCCCCCGCTCCCGCCCTCCCGCCGGTGCTCACCGCGTCCCGGTGCGGGCCCGTCACGTGCACGCGGTGAAGTTACCGGTGTCCCCCGCACCGCTGACCGGGTGGCACCGAGAGGCTGCGGACAGGGCGGCTCCCCGCCGCAGGAGGGGTTCCTCCGAGCTGTCCCCGTCCTCTCCGCTGCCGCCTTCGCGTTTTCGAGCAGGACGGGCCGGGGGAGAAGGGGCGGGGGAAGAAGCACTTTTCCTAGCTGTGGAACAGCACGGCGAGGCGGCACAGGCAGCCTTCCGCGGCCCTCACAGCCCACTGCCCCCCACCCACAGCCCCCTCTCTGCCGCTCGCCGGGCACCGGGCGGGGAGCGAGGCGCGGCCCCACCCCCGGAGCGGCTCTGCCCGCACGGCTCGTCAAAAGTGGAGCCCGGAACGGCCCGCGCGTCTCCTCTGCCCTCCAACGGGCGCCGCTTTAACTGTGGAGACAAGAAAGACCCAGAGAAAGAAGCGATGTTTTCTGAAATTATACCCACTGCGATGCTGTGGGGATCAGCCCCTGAACCACCGCCCCATCCCGTGGGATCGCTCCACATGCGCGTGCAGGTTCCGCTTCACACTTGCCGTTTTCTTCCCCGTCTGCAGGTGTGTGAACTGACCCCCTCGTCGTGAGAGAACGCGTCCGAGGCCTGGGTGAGGCTGTACGGAGAGCCAGGGTCCGGCCCGGCATGGGGGCTGACCGGGCCTCGCGTCCTGCAGCGGACGCTTTGTTTGCCCACGTAGTTCATGTCCCTGCAGGCTACGTGAAAGAGCCCTGAGCGTTTGCCCAGCCCAGCGCTGGCCTCCTACCACGGGATCGCGACACGGGGCAGAGCCGTGGGCTCAGGGGTCACCCAGGAGGGACTGAGCTCCCTGGGCACCCCATCGAGCTCCCCATGCAGGAGGGGACACGGGTGGGCCCCAGTGCATGGCACGCTCAGCATTGTGTGAACGCTTCAAGCCGAAGGAATGGTAGAGCCGACAGCCAAGAGGAGTGGCTGTGGGATGTGGGCACAGCATCGTTGTCTCCAGACTGAGTTTCCACTAAGAGCAGAGCACCCAGGCACTGGAGCAAAGTCAGGGGGAAGCTCGTAGGCTCGGTCTCCCCGTGCAGCTGCAGTAGTTACACCAGCGTAATGCTGAGGGTCGAGCGTGGAGGCACTTTACCACAAACAAATAGCCAGCAGCAGTTAAAACAAGGGTGGGAAATGGAGGCTGCTGTTTGGTCACGGCTGCCTGGAAATGCTGTGCAGGCGAGCCCCGAGACCTGTCCTCCCTCTCCCCAAGCTGTGCCTTACTGCCCTGCCTCTTCTCGTGGCATGGATCTTTCGTTATACAAAACATGTTAGTGAGGCTGGTGGGGATTCTGCACGACTTCTGTTCTGGAGAGAAAAATCCTCCGTTGTTGTCTAATCTCATTTCTACACCTGCCAATTTCCCTCTCCCTCTCCTGTTCTCCTCGCCCTCTTCAGAGCACTAATTAATACACAGCTGCCTTGGCCATGCCATGTCCACTGAAAATCTGCATTGAATTAAATGCTATGCTTTCGTGCTATCTAACTCATTGTCTCTGCTAATCATATCCTTAATTAATAGAGTTATTAGCTGTTTTTGAATATAGGGCTCCCAGTTGTTAGTAGCTTTTTTTCCTTAAACTACAAGTTAGCAATTTCTAAATGTGATCATGTCTTTAATTGCATAGAAATAAACCCCCATGATCCCAAACCCTTAATCTGCCTATTTTAGGATTTCTTATGGCTGCTTACCCTGATAGCAGAGCATCTTCCATGTGAAATCAGCCTTATAAGGCATATCAAATTAGGTTCCAGATTACAGTGAATTAAAAAAAAAAAATAGGCCAAAGAACATTGAAAAATGTGTGACTTACCCAAAGATATCCAGTACTGGCTCTGTCAGAAAAAATCCCCCAGAGCTCTGACTCCCATTGCCTGTGCTGAGAATTTATCTACTGAAACAATTAAAGACAAAATATTTGTGGTATTGAAGGATTATTTGACAAAGATTTTATTGTTGTTGTTAGGAAACAATTCTCTGGTAAGATGCTTTGAGGGGAATATTTTCCAGAAATGATTTCCCACCCCTATTATCTGAGCTGTTAGAAGCTCCACTGAGTATTTCAGGGTAATGCTCCTAATGGAGTAGTAGAGATTTTTAAATCTCTCATACACAGATCTCACCATTATTTTTTGTTCAGGAAGAAAAAAAGGTCAAAATTAAACCACAAACCTCTTGTCATAGAACATCACCCCCTGCCAAAATCCCTTCCCATTTGACTCCTGTGCAGGTTGGAGGATACCAGGCTCTCAAACAGCTCTGGTGGGGAGAGGGGCTGCATACACAGGAACTCAAAACCGCTTTAATTATTAATAAATATATTTACACAAGAACAGTTTCCCTTTAGGGGAAACATGAGTTCTCATGCAATTGCTCAGGTTATATTGACTCAACACTGTCAGAAAACTAAAATTTCATCACTTTAATACAAGGAGTATAAACATCTATTTATTTAGCAGAGTTTATCTGAAAGGTACCCATAGAGCCTGTGGATTTGGAAAGGAAGTCCACCCTTGCAGCTGGAGATGGCCAGGTTTTTCTTGGCAGTTCTTGGCCAGCACCAGCAGCTCATGGTGGGGCGGAGGACAGGTGCTGCTCACCAGTCAGGTGTGTGGGACCCACCACTGCCTCGAGGCCTGGCAGCAGGAACCCCCGGGGACCTGGGAGAAGAGCAGCGCGCTTCGTGTCTTTGTGTGTGACACTGAGTGCATTGGGAAGGCCTGACCGGGTGGCACGTGCTGCTGCATGGAACAGCTGCCCCTCCTCTGCCCGCAGGGCCCTGCAGAGAAAAGGCCCGGGGGGTCCAGTCACTGCAGAGGGGCCACGGGGCACCATGGCAGAGGAACAACCACCCCAGAGCTGCTGCCAGAGAGCCCTGGCTGTGCAGCTGGTCAGAAGGTGCCTCTGTTCTTACCCAGGCAGCCAGTCCTCGTTTTTTCCCATCTCCTTCACATTTGCCTCTCAGTGTGCAATTTGGGTTATTTCTATACGATTGCGGGTTGGCAGGAGACCACAAGGTGCCTTCACAAACTTACAAACAATGTGTTTTGAATCTCTTTGGCCACTCACTTTCCCTCTCAGAAACCCGTACTGATGGAAAATGGCAATTGAATAGCTGTACTGCATCAGAGCAGGAGTCCAGCCCCTGCCTTCTCCTCATCCTGACGGAGGCCATAAGTGGTTATCCGAGAGAAGAAAGGTAACAGGAGAGAGTGCAGTGGTCCCACTTGATCTCCATTGTCTCAGCCCAAAGATGGTCAGGACAGGGCTGTCCCTGGAGCACCGTTTCTGAACAGAGAAGAGCCATTCACCAGAGAAACAAAAGGGGAGATGAGGGGGAGCTGAGAAGCACTTGGACATAGAGAAATCATTGCCTAAACAAGAGCTGTTCACTGATCACCACACTCATCAGATTCTCTCCAGCCCTGCCTGTCACCCTGCCCTGATCCAGCCAGTTGTTAGTGTTTACTGTCATCAGGCTGGACACATCAGCAAGTGCTCACCTGGGGACTTCAGGGCACTCAGAAGTAACAGAGGGCTTGGAAATAGACTGGTTGGCAAACATCAGTGTATTTTTGGATAAGCATGGATGAGTCCCTATTTTGTTGTTATTAATCTGTATTGCAGGCACTGCTCATGGAGAAGGAGGCCAGACTCTTGTTACTGTTATTACTAGTGATTTAGCACCACTGCTAGGTGGTCTTAGCAGAAAGACTAAGACAAGGTCGCTTCCCCAACGTCCTTTAATCTAAACACACGCTCCAGTGCAGTCCCAGGCTCTGCTGCAAATGGCTGTAACAGGAACCACAGGAGCACAGAACACTCCTGTGCCACTCTGCTACCAGCCTCCAGCCCTGTTTGAGCAAGGGTGAGAGTGATTTATGGGGACCTGAGGCACTTTCCTAAGTAAAATCACCCTTTTATTCTTCAAGCCTCTTTGTTTTCAAATATGAGCCTTTCCCAGTGTAATATAGAGCCTTGCTCTCCTCAGAGTGTGTAATGCAGTCATAACCTTGTCTGCAGCGTGCAGCCAACTGACATGTTCACCGTGAGGGATTTGCCTCCAGAGGGGAGCTGTGCAGACAGAGGTTGTGAGCCCAAAAAGGTTTCCTTCTAGGTTAATGACAGATACAGTGCTGGTGAAAGTTCACATGCACAGTAACGGCAGGACGTTCTGGACTGGGAGGTTTATCACAAAGCATTAAAGAGATGTGTCTTTGGTAGCCTGTGCTAGGTTTAACCTGGGCCCTGCAGGTAGTGAGGAGCTCTTTCACCGCCTGGACCCACACTGGATGCAAAAGCAGCAGGTTCCCCAGCTTTCCCCAGATGTCCTTGGTGACCTGTTGCCTTTATTTTCTTTAGAGGCTTGGGAAGGGCTCAGCACTCAATTGCCACCGGTTCACACTGGTCAGAGCTGGAGGCGTGGCTGGTGAGCTTGAATGCAGCTCCAGCTCTGATCTGTGGGAAGCTCAGCCTGTGCTGGGGTGGTGGCCAGGTGAAGCACAGTCCCTTCCACCCTGATTGCCCTGATGGTCTCTCATCCATACCTGTCTCTTGTCAACGTGGGCATCACGGGCAGGCGCAGGTGCCCGTGTGCATGGCAGAATAGGGCTCTTCTTTGGCTGGGTCCAGCCAGCACCAGCATTAGGGGGTTTCTGTGAGCAGCAGTGGTTTTTGCACCATTTTGCCTGGGCTGGCCGTGCAGGGGCTCGTCAAGCCCCCCAGGACTGCAGGGCACTGCCCACAGCACTATGGCACGAGGGGGGCCAGCCACGTCCTGCCCA